GACGAGGCCCTAACGAGGCAAGTTCGCTTATAACCAGCGTTTATGTCAAGAACGCTTCTCGGGGGTTAGTCCGGGATAAAAAGTTTCTTGCGACCGAAGGCCGCTGTGATTTAAAGTAAAATTGTAGCAACAGTATTGTTATCGGGCAGCTCTAAGAGACGGGCTACTGGCATCCGTCCGTGACGTCTGCCGCGCGCCTTTGTGATTATCGGCAAATTCAGTTTTCTCGATTGCTCGCGCGATTTCAAGTGGCCATAATATATGGCGATAATACATGGCAATATGTGGTAACAATATATAGCAACAATATATGGCAATAATATATGGCAATAATATATGGCAATAATTCATGGAATATAATTTTCGTTCGACAAAAGTCAATGCAAATTTGCGGCATGCACAATGTAATAATAAAAGAGCTCTCTGCGAGCATTGAGTCAAACGCTCACCGATGATGATATTGATGATGTCCCGTTGCATCCAACCAGATCCATCAATGTCCGCCCATGTCCGTTGCCGCTCTCCATGTCGTGTAGCATCCATCTTGCAGCGCTGATTGCTCCCACGTTGATTGCTACACTTTCGCGACGCGGTCGATACTTGTATTAAAGCGGCGATATTTGCGTCAATTAACGAACGCTTTACGTCGACATCGGTGGAAACTTTTTACGCGCTGCGAAACGGACTCTATAAACTCGATCGGCGAGGACCGTGTGAAAATTTATCGACTCGTCCAACGGATTTTTACGGCGCTTTTCGTGATCGCGTCTGAAAAGTCGCGAAAATGCGGGAGTATCGTTATCCACGAGAATATTTGCGAATGTATGCGAGGAAAGATTAGACAATTAGAAACCGGTCATTCCGAGGGAGTGCAAAGAGAGAGAGCGGGGCAAAGTTTTCACGCATGATAGTTCCGTTACGACGAAGCTTACGTTCGCGATACTTTGGCGAAATGAGAATTTAAGATTTCTTTGTTAGCAGCGCGGGTAAAAACGCGTATATTGACTACCGCGGTCGCGGTATTCAAAGGCACGCGAGCGAGGATACCTCAAGCTCGGCGTGCGCTGGCGCAATTTCTGTGCGCATTATACGCTACTCGAGACAATATAGGGATCGTGATGAATGGACAATATTGCCAAATAATTCTACAGCCTGTTTTAGAAATAGAAGAAAAGTAGCCAACGGTATCGGCATTTATGCATATATTTTACACGGACAATTGAATATTATCAAATAATTGTCGTTAAATAATTCTGCGGCCCGCTTGAAAAATGAAAATAAAGCAGCTGATGACCGTATCGCGTTTGTAGATATGAATATCTTTTATTCAGATGACTGAACATCGAAAGAGAATCATTCGGTATTTTAAATCTCGTATGTAATGCAGGCTATCGATGAAGTAATCCCCTGATTGTTTCGAGCAATGTATTTTATTCAACGTCACAAACACACACATGCAAAATCTATTTGCAATTTGCATTGACTCGAACGATATTTTATCTAGTCCCACATCCGTCATGCGGAATTTTGTTTCTTTTTTCATTTTGTATTTACTCACCGAAACGACTTGCAGTCAGAGCCGGCCACGTTCCGCTTCAACTCTGTAACAAAAATTCACATTCGCTCATCAGATTTCACCAACGAGTGCGGGCGAGTAAAAGAGTAGTTCACCCTCTGCGATCGTAATTCAAGTCGAGTCGGAAATTATATCCCAGCTCTAGATCGCCAAGGGTCAAACAGAGGACTATAGTAAATTTGTAAACTTACCTTCAAGCCGACTCTGCTTGGCCCGAATCGGATCCTCCGATGCGACATCCACGTCCGCCGGATTGCTGTTGCTTTCCGCAACAACTGAAACAGAAAAATAATTTTCCCGGTTAATAACCTGCGGTAGAGAGAGAATATCTTTGATCGGGACCAATCGAAAATACGGAAATATTTTGATATGGGATTTTTATCTCAATATTTTTGTTCCAACATTGAAAATTTAAGAGACATGAAGCTTTCAAGAAAACTGATGAGGAACAAGTTGCGAAGGCAAAGATCGTAAAGAGTTGAATACAGATGTGTAGGAAACTTGTAAACTTTACCTTCTGACCGACTCTGCTTGGCCCGAACCGGATCCTCCGGTACGGCATCCGCATTTGCCGGATTGTTGTTGCTTTCCGCAACAACTGAAACAAAAAAGTAGTTTTCCCAGTTGATAATCTGCGGTAGAGAGAAAGAATATCTTTGATCGAGACGAATCGAAAATACGGAAATATTTTGATATGGGATTTTTATCTTTATATTTTTGTTCCAACATTAGAAATTTAAATGAGACATGAAGCTTTCAAGAGAGCTGATGAGGAACAAATTACAAAGGCAAAGATCGTAAAGAGTTGAACACAGATGTGTAAGAAACTTGTAAACTTTACCTTCTGGCCGACCCTGCTCTGCCCGAACCGGATCCTCCAGTGCGGCATCCGCGTCCGCCGGACTTGCTTCCCGCAACGTCTGGAACAAAAATTTAGCGTTCTTGGTTGGTAAGCTGCGGTAGAGAAAAAATGCTTGGTCGGGATGAGTGGAGAATATTCGCTACGATTTTTTTTCTTTATTGACATTGAATGTCTAGATAGGAGCTCTTCAAAGAGCTGACGAAAAGAAAGCGGAGCTGACGAAAAGAAAAAGACAGCAAGAAGCGGAGACAACAGTTGTGTGCTCTCGAGAATACTCTTTTACGAATGGACAGTGAAATTTAGATCCCGTAACGAGAGTAAACAGACTTGAAAGAAGCGCTGACCGAAAACAAAGAAGGTCGCAGTCTAAGAAACGGTATGACGTTGAATATTCTATACAAGACCGGTATACTCACACAGTTGGGAATTATTCAAAATGTTTGATTGAGAACATGATAAGAATTAGAAGTCCGCGTTCATGGACCGTTACCCGTCTGTCTGAATTAATATCTCTTGTATATAACAACGCAATAAATAGATAGACAGAGATTGACGAGAGTAATTGCAGATTCATAAAGTCATGATTACTAGTCGGATGATGACGGATCGTGAATGCCGAGCGCGAAATTCCGGCTTTTTATTCCCGGAAAATTCGTCAAACGTCCGTTCTCGTTATCGGAGACCTCCCGCATAATAAATGATTCCACATACCTGGAAACGTGACGTATCGCTGCCGGCGTCCTGCTTCCCGGCTGCTGGAGTCCTCCGGATTTCACTCGTTCACATTTCTAATGCCGATACTCGCGATTCAACCATGCGGTTAATCGATGCGGTGCCGACACGATGCCGATTGAGTATCTCGAAGACCGACGAGATACGTTTCTTTCAATTACACGAAACGGAAGTGACGAGCGCGTCGCGCACGGCTGCTGCTGATGGAATGAGGTCGAGTACGCGAGGTGTGCAACTATTAATACGAAGGACAAAAAGTGTTGTCGCTCACGAGCCGATCGACACAATCGGCGCGATGTAAACATTGCGGGTTGCAACTCGGCGGCGGTTGAAGCAAGAGAGACTTGCCCTTGGGCGTCTCTTCTTTTCTCGAAGGTTCCGGAATGACGAGGGGAATACGAGGAGGCCTTTCAACTGTACGCGACGTTGATTTACTCTATTTATTGATTACTGAAAATAAAGAAAATTACTCTGTCGAAGTATCGGACATTTGTTAGCTTTATGTTAATTAAAGAGGAATGTGTACGATTAGAAAATGCTTTAGTTAGCAACTAATTGTACAGAGTCTCAAAGTTGTTGTGCCGCCGTTTTCGGAGAATAATTAAAGGTCATGGTAGCGTTAAAGAGTGGAATTTCATCCCATGCGAATTTTGTCTCGTTCTTATTAAATGTTAGATTATCCGCTGCGGACAATAACTCTTCTACTTTTCATCTAATATTCAATGATGATAAACAACATTTAATTGCATTCGTTTGGCCTTTTTTATTTCGAAAATAAGAAAATATATACCGGGGTGAGATTTTACCCATGACAACATTAACGTGATTTTCTTTGATGCTTTTTTTAAAAATTCAAATATTTCGTCGACTCGCGGGATATTTATAATCGGAGTCTCGTCACGTTAATTACGTGAATAACAGGTGCTCTTCCGAGGGGATCGAATGCTCACCGACGGCCACTGTCAGTGCCACGAGTGAATGTCCGGAGCGGACAGGATGTTGAATTAAAAAACAAGACGAAGTGAACGGGATGCGAATAACGATACATCATGCGTCTCCATACATGTCAAATTGTTTATTATAGAAGAGACTTTGATACGGCAATATATATTCGAAGATTTAACATTTAATACGTGTCGCCGAAAACGCCGTGTTGGCCGCTCTCAGCTTCCTCTCTGGTGAACACTAGCGTCGTTAGTTTATGTGCACGGTCATACAGAGAGCGCTTTGCACTTGGCTCGGCTAAAAGCGGCCCATGACACCTCTCCTTCTTCTCTCTGATATTACTTCGTCAATGGCAGAAAGTGGCGTCGGAGCAGTGGCTTACACACCCAGAGCCATCTATTGAATTGAATTGAACTTCGCCAATGGTGGCATTGTAAATTCATCTTTAATTTTTCAAACGCCCTGAATGACGCGCGTTTTTCCTGAGGCGCAGCTGCAACATTCGGTCGCGAGAATGCGCAACGAGTTCGTTTCGCGCGTCATTGTCGCTTCTTCTTTACTCCACATTTGTTCTGCGATCGCGTCGGTACGTTTCACCGCTTCTTTGTGATTTCGAATGATTTCGGAGTCGCGAGGGTGCGACAGGCAATGCGAGTCCGACGAAGTTTGTCTGCTTTCGTTATATGTGACAATTAATTCGCTCTAATCCACCTTCCTCGGCGAGCAGGTTCGCGAATCCACGGTCACGCGAGTAATGCATCGTCCTGCCGTGTCCCGACTATTGTCCGCTGTCGAGCATCGAAGAATAGTAGGCGAGACTCCAGTCAGGTTATATCCTGTGCTCGCATGAAAAGCTGCGGGAGATCCATATGTTGAATGGTACGTGAAGGTGCACGTGTATCTGCATATGTGTGCGTGTGCAAGTGCGTTTACCATTGTCTCGTTGCAAATGATGCACCCGGAAGTAGACGAAAGACAGCTGCGTGTCTGTGACCTTTGTTGGTTCTGTCGATGATACATTCTTAGCAATAGCCTTCTGTTGTACATGTTGTGCGTAACGCGTGATCACGTGCGTATCATATGTATGTCAGATGTTGAAGACAGTGAGACGATTGGCATGATTCGCTCTAATGTGCTTGTAACATTGTCTGCTTGCAGAGGAGAATGGAAGCGGCGAAGATAGAGGAACGTCAACGGAGTGTGAGCCATGTGGATGTTGACGGAGGTATGTCGATTTTTTATCTGGACAATATACGTTACGATAATTATTCCCAGTCATGCATATCTTAAATTGCATGGAAAAATTTCTCTCGAGAAGTCAATCAGGATCCTTTACCAAGACAAGAAGCGTATAGTTTAATAAATTCAGTATCTAAACAGCAGTTGTCAATTATCATAGGTATAATGTAAATAAGTATTTAAAGTATAATTCTAGCTCTACTTATTAATATCATAAATAATATATTTGTTATAAATGTCATAAACAATTATTCAATATGCAACATTTGTTTGCATAAAAAATCAATACTGAGCGACATCAAGCTTATGACAAAAAAAAATTTAGTTTGTATCAACTACTATAACTATTTAAATAACTAGTTAAAATATAACTAACCAAGGCATCTGCTAAATGTCACAAATAATTGTATAGTGTGTATATTTTATCTACAGAAAAGAAGAATGATATTGAGCGACATCAAGGCATACAGCCAGATGATGCCAGGATGGAGAACAGACTTGCAAAGAAAATGTGAGTGAAATATATTTCTTTTTTATGACATGAGGGTTTACATGCATAAGCATGTTTAAGCTATTGACCAATGAATTTAAATAATTTTATAATTGGTTTCTGAATAAACACATTTTAAGAATGTTAGGTAAACAGAGCGTCACTGATAAGTCATGCAGAACTAATCTAAGATCATGCCATTGATTTTAGTCCCTCCGGGTCATATTAATATCTGTTACTTGAAACTTGTTTTACTAAGATATCCAGATCTAAGTTTAGAGTTAGATCTGATTTTCTCGATTGAATCTATGATGTATATGATATTTCAGTCCTTGGATGTGACCATAAAAAGTATCCTTGCAACTTGAAAAAACAGGGAAATTTTGCCATTGAGTTATCTTATCTCAGGCAGCCGCATGATTTGCAGCTTGTCATAATTCGCATACATAATATCAACCTGGCTATTAATCTGAGAGTCTCGATGTAATTGTTTTAATTGTCGCTCGGGGCTCACGAGAAGTTCACTTGTATTGGCTGCGCTCGAGTTATCACTCACTAAATAATTCCTTCGGATAACGCAAGAAATTACCTTAAATTACCCACCAAACATTATCAGCAAGCCAAACATTATCAGTTGAGAAGCAATTGTTTGCCTGGGAAGCACTCAGTTGTTTGGTGCGGTGTGTGTACGGATAGTCCAGCGAGTTCTCCGTCGTCGAAATAAAGCGAATGCAAATTTCGGGACTCTTCGGTTTTCAGGAAACGGACTCTCCGGACGTTTCCCACGTCCTGAAGACAACTTATCGCGGTCGGATTGTTAATACGTTGACTGCCACCGGTGACCGAATATTGTCATGTCTCACTAATTTATTTATATTCTATTCATTACTACATTAAATTTGCTTATATTTATTATATTCAACATTTTTATATGATGAAATTAGATAATTATATATTTCCTAATTTTTTTATAAATTGGAATTTTCAATTGTACGTAAAAAAACTAGTAGAGAGCCAATGAAACACAAGCTAGCGAATATACTCTTATTTATCGTAACTTTGATGATTGAAACTTGGACTGAGCCTTGAAATAATCAAGGAAATCAGCATAGCGGTCAACGTATTAAATCCGTCAAATTGCGTTTTCTACAGCAAGGGTTGTGGGTTGAAGATTAAAATTCGAAACTAGTTTCCACCTTGGCTGGCCTCGCCCCGATTAGTCGAGTTCCAATCCGCGGTCCTCGATCTTCGTTGACCTAGTCTGATACAGATTTTATGGATAAAACACACCGGTATCGATCCAGTATGCGCTTTTATCCGCGACGATCTAAGGAAAACCGCAACAACTTTACCTTTTTGCGCGCTATATAATTCGGAGTTTACCGAAACCGGAGCAGCGCGTGTTTGCTCGTGTCGATCCTCTTAACGATACGGTGTCGTATTTAATTGTAGTCAAACTCTCCGATTATGAGCGTACCTCATGCACATCGTCCTGACGTGGCGTGAAAACGTGACACCGTTTGATAACAAGGTCGCGAGGATATTATCGCCCCCCTCCCCTTCCGTCTCGCGGTATTAATTCGTAAACGGAGCGCCGATCGCGTATCGAAATCGGAGTCCCGTAGATCGTCGCATCCGATCGGAACACACGCTGATCGTGCTGGCGGTGCGAAACTCCTCTGGATGTATTAACAGCTGCTCCGTTGTCCGCCGTGTTTGATCGTGCACGAAGCGTGGAACTCCACGTTGCCGTATCAGCGTGCGATTAAATCCGGTAATAATTCGCGTGAAATATGTGACGGCTCCGTTATGAAACCATTACGTTGAGATCGTGTCGTGTTTAAGAGAGAGTGAGATTCAGAGAAAGAGAGAGAGAGAGAGGGTGGGAGGGAGGGAGGAAGATAGGAAGAAAAGGAGAGATAGGAGAATTTGGTTGGGAGATCGAGAAAATAGGGGAACTTGCAAATGCACGCACATTTGTAGGTAAAACGTGTGCGAGCTCGTGACGCAAAAATTCGGGGGACGCGTGTGGAAAATTCGCGTTGATCGTACTCGAGAGACCCAGCAACCGATACGTACGAGTCTTCGAGCGACGTAAAATGATACGAAGGCTATACCAGGGCACGTGGAAATACAAAGTGTTAGTCAACACTCCTTCCTTCCGGTAAGTTATTGTGCTGCTTCTCACAGTATTTTCCAGGATTTCCCGCGCGTACGTGATCGATGTTCGTCCATGAGATGAATCACGCTTTATTCGTGTCATCGATAATTACGTTATGATATCCGATATATTTTCACTTGATAGAGAAAGAGAGGAACGGAGGAATTAATTTGATGACGCGGAACATTATTATCGCGCGAGATTCTGCACGTTATTATATATTTGCACGAGAGAAAACAGAGTTCTGCGTCAATAGAGGTGGTCAATAGCTGGCGTGAATCTTCTTGATCTCCTCGATAACAATGTTATTAGAGCTGATACATTGTAGCATCATTTTAATAACTTGCTTAGTTCCAATAATATCGCTGTTGTGAATCATGAAGATTTACTTCGATTATGGCGTTGTTGACCAACTATATCGATGAACAACAGCACTTTTTCTCCGTGCGAATGCGCTCGTAAAGTCGCGATTAACAAGCGAGACAAGTTAGAGGATGAGTCAATCGATGGTTATTTATATTATATTTATATATTCATTTTTAATATTTCGTGTAGTCTTTCGTACTTAAAAAATTATTATCGACGTTCATCGATTTGTTCGTACAATTATGCGTTAATGCGAGGATGTCCAAGCGGATTTTCATCCAAAAGTAAACTCCGGATGGTACGGTCGCGATGAAATGAAATTGTTCCTACTGACCATTCTTGCTTTATTAAGCACGAGCATGTTGTATTGTGATCCTCGTTGTCTCGCGAGAAATAGCGCCCGCGGCAATGAATTACATTCAGCCTTCGCGGTTTAATAGCTATTAAGTAAGATCGTGCTTGCGAACGCGACTATAGTGGCGATGCATCTTTGTCATCGAAGGTTCGGTTCGAGTCGTTAAAAACAAATTTCGAGTTAAATTTCGCTTTATCGTGTTCGACGATAAAATATAGATAAATCTGTTGATCTGTCTGTAGGCCTGTTCGTTTTAGATTAGCTACTGCTATAATTTTATTCCTTTTCTCGTTAACATTGAATTATATACTTGCTTCAGTCTAAAAACAAAAAGTGCAATCCGCTTCAGCGAACAAGCCTTACGTGTGAATTATGGATAAACATGTAGATAAATAAGGGAATAAAGTGTTAATTGCCGTCGTTATCTGATGTGACTCTTCGCCAATGTTTTGGCAGTGCTCGTAGAAGAGTGATATATCCGTTTATCTCTGAAGAAAGTAGAAAATTGAGCCGAATTTTTTATTAGATCGACGCTTTAATCGGAGATATTGAAGATCGCGAGATATCACGGAACAATTGAAGGTTTGATTAAATTCTCGATAGGGAGAGATTGGTTGAGTTACTCGTAGACGTTCTCGCGGGCGTTATCGAGGGAAAACCTACTTAACGTTTCCGCAAAGAATCGGCTGGTTATGTATTTCGTTATCTATAAATATCCGGCATCAAATTCACGTTGTCAAACGCATGATAAGAGCGCGCGCGTGCGATCCTTTTTCCGGAAAGTGAGAACTCAATTGGAGCGTCTCTTATCGGTATTACTTCAGAATTTCCAGGCGACCTGAGAAAACACGGCGATCTCAAAATAAAACGTCTCTTTAATTACTCTCGTTATCTCTCGCTGTTTGCATGATGTTAACAAACTAACCTCTTCAGCTTCGACAACGCGAGCGGCTCGTGCGCGAATCGAACTCTGAAATATGAAGCTCTCGCCTGTAGATATAACTGTAGGTATAACTTTCAACGCGAGTGTCGTTATCGCTACATACATACGCAGATGTAATATGCAGTAGAAAAGATACTCAAAAACAACGCGCCAATAAGGACGTTACTGTTAAAGAACAGACCTGCTGGTTGGGAACGCAGCGTTCGCGAGCACCTGATAAACATATTCTCTAATTCCCTTAAAACTCGAATCGCAGCTCCATGTACCGGAGTTTCAAGTTACAGTTTATCAAATAAGTAAGTGTGCGACGTTTCTCTTCCTTTCCTCCCTCTCTTGCTGGCGTCACTAAACAGCGACATGCACGTTACGAGCAGCATGAAGTATCCTTCTACCTCAGCAGCGGAAGGTCTTCCGGCGCGATCCGGCACGCCTTTCTCTCCCTCGACCACGTCATAATTACCTGGCTCCCAACGGTGGGCCAGATAGAGTCTCGGGCCCACTTGGTTGTGACGGACATCCATTCTTGTGACAGCTCGCGTTCGTCGAGCATGTGCCGTTCTCGCGTAATAAAGTATCACAGTGCCGCAGCACGTTGCCCTTGCTTATCCCGAGAATCCCCGATCGCGGCGAATTGCGCTTTTTTATCTGGACATGCGAGAGATGCGTTGAATAAGATTCTTACCGTATTTTACCGTATTTTACGTTATATCCGCGATAAACGCGTCTATTTTTGCGTTTATTCAATGGAAAATTCGTGTCTCTCGCGGTATCGTATCGCATCGTGAATTTGACGGGATTTCGAGCGTTACGAGGTTGTGATAACGACGGTGGACCTAGGAAGCCGGAAACCTGCTGTCTCGTCCTCAGAGTTCAGTTCATTTCCGTGTTAGGCTCGCGGAAGAGCAGCGATTATTTTAGCGAATTATCGTGGCTCGCGGTCACGCTTGATTCTTGTCCGTTGATTCGCTTCTGCAGCAACAATACGAAATTGCTGTAATCAGATCGTCGAAGTGAGATTACATTGAGACTTCGGGCAGTCGAGGGGAAGACGGTTAAGCGCGATGCATCAATAATGTGCGATATCGCGCGGCAAATTCGTCGGACGTATGGAAGAGTTATCGCATAGTATCGCGGTGTTCAATGTGTAACGCGACGATGCGGAGATTCAGAGGTCCTTTGGTTCATCGGATGAAGCTGAGCTATTGCGATTTAGCTGCCATTTCGCCAGTGGACGATGCAATTTACTCGACACCTCGGGAAAATGCAAGGTTGCTCGGGTCAGTACTGTTTCTGCGACGCTAATCGTTATTGTTCATGTGGAAAAGAATTTTTTTACCTCGGCGCCAAATTACCGTGAAAAGGGGGTCAAACACGTTAAATTTTTTATTCTGTATCGAGTCGGTCTAAAAAGAATTCAGCTCAATTTGCTGCCTTCGACGGTAAACCAGCTATATTCTAGGATACAAGTAGGCGAATGCTTTGCGTTACTTTACTCACAACAATTCACAATTATTTTACAACTACTTCATAGTTGCTTGACAATTTCTTTCTGTCGCTTGGTTGATGGATAATTTGTTTCCTTTCAATATATGATCGAGTCAAAAAAAAAGAAAGAAATAAATTGAACGATCGGAGATTTCTGACAACATAATTTTGCGAGTGAATTTTGCGACTGTACAAATCTAGACGATCTCTGGACTGAGCGCGAGTTACCAGTGAAAGTTCGCGGTATTAAATCTCGCATCTTGTGCATAAAATTGCATTCTACATCTCGTGTGATATTCACTCTCATATTCATCGCAGACATATCTGCGTCTAATAGTTGGTGTTGCAACGACGCGTGAGAATTCCGTCTGATAATTTCTCACGAATTATAAGGAATCTTGAGCACATATCGGGGCGACATAATTATCTCGACGTCATCGGCGTAGTTAGTTCCTTTCGTGTCATGGTTCGACGCACACATGTGGACGCGAAATATACACGTGAACTCGACGAACGAAAGTTCCACGAGCGGAAAGCGTGAAGCCCCTTATTGAAACCGCAGCAACTTTCACGTTCAGTCGTTTAAATTTAGATCGGCAGTTCCTATGTCGTGCACATATTATATTCCGCGTGTGTACATTTCATTTCAATGTGTTATTGAATTTTTAATCAATTTTTTCACTCGTGCATACTGAGTTTCAGAGCGGTTTGAACAATTCTTTTTTCTCGATACAATCCGGAACGCAACTGATTGGATTATCAGCTGCATTTCGAAGCGCATCGCGGGAGTGTTCGAATCGCCTCGAAGCCAAATATATGCATAAAAATTCACAAAAAAATTTTAATAAAAATCTGGATAAAATATTCGTATGTACACATACGCTCGCACGAGATTTCGATTGATCGAATCAGCGAGTAAGTGGTGCCGCGTGATGCAAAACGAGATGCACTTGTTCGACGCTTTGTTGCGCACAGTGCATACGCATCGTGACGGACAACCGTCGCCGGTTAGATACATCGATAATGCTCGACTTATCGTACGCGCCTTCTTTTTTGTTTAATTTGAGATTTCGTCGTGAGATAATGTACGCCATACCATCTGGTAGTTGTAAGAGATTGCGAAAAATCTTATGGGTATTGCACGCGCAGCGTCGCGGCATACGAAACTTGCTTTTGCCTTTTAAATTTGTCGTAGAACGTTTATCATGCAAAAAAAAAACTGTTATTATTCAGTAATGAATATTGATGAAATAGATAACGATTTCTTCCGCAATAGCGTTGTAACTTTCGAGTAGATTCTTTTTTACACACGTCACGACGATAAAGAATTATTTACTCGATGGACACGTGCGCACATAGCGCGGTCTGAGCGCGCACGTCCTGCAAATTAACCCAACACAGAGACTTGAAAGAAAGATAATTTAACCTGATTCGCCTAGAAGAAAGTCTCCTCCGTCCAAGTGGCAACCGGCAACGGGAACCGGCAGACAAAAAATTGCCGACGAGAAACGGCATCTCTGTATTTTTTTCTCGATACCATCCGCAGCTGATCGGATCATCAGCTGCATTTCGAAGTACATCGAGAATGTTCGAACTGCCTCGAAACCCCGAATATACGCATAAAAATTCACAAAATTTTAATAAAAATCTGAATAAAATATTCATATGTGCACATACTCTCGCACGAGATTTCGATCGATCGAATCAGCGAATAAGTGATGCCACGTGATGCAAAACAAGATGCACTTGTTCGACGCTAATCGAACACTAGAAAGCGCGAGTGAAGAAATTCGTTCGAGCATTCAGCTGTATCGAAACTCGATTGAGATGACTGGGAGTAATCGACTGATTAATAATCTTCCCGTCCCCGCAGATAAGAGAGACGTTTTCTGGTCCCCAGGCGATTCAGTTACACTAACGGACCTAATCGCTGTGCTCGAGTGGATAACAAAGTAACCAAGTGCGCACGTTATGTTGGTCTTTTACCTCAATCATTTCAATAATCGTCGTAACACGCGCGTCGGAATGCATACACACACGTACCCGTAAGCAGAGTGTGAATCAATACCGAACGGTTGACGTCAATCGACAAAAATCACTCTCCGGTGGGACGGAAATGTGAGCGGCCGAGGGAAAATTTTGCGCGCTGGAACAATTAAGATAGCCGAGAGCTCACAGGCAGCCGTTCGATCCGTGGAACTCCAAGTATTCCGTTCTTCATCGAGCGAGGTGCTTCCTACGCCTTCTCGAGGAACGACGAAAGAGCATTGTCGCGCGTGTATCCCCAGCACAGTACTCGTCGACCAGCTCTTATACGATCCTCTCTCGGCCGACGGAAGAAGTGCCGTGGGCAAAAGCGAGCCGTGCGCGGGGTGGTCGTCGATCATCGATTACCGCGATTATCAGTCGCTCTGTGATATCAATTCCGTGCGAGTATCGTGTGTATTTTTCGGCCCCACTCGACGCCGCCTGTTTTCTGGAGCGTCGCTTTTGTTGTCGCGAAAAATCAACGTGTCGATTCGGCCGATTTGAGAAAGCAAAGCAGCTTTTGCGGTACTCGCGGAAATTCGCGTTTTTCCGCGAGGAAAAGAGAGGGAGAGAGAGGACGATCGGATCGCCGCCGTGGCCAGTTTCGGTGGAGTAAGCTGCGACGATCGCTGGTTGAAGTTGGATGCAACGCGATATCGTCGCGATTCTTATCACGACATAAGAAGGAGAATAAGACCGGCGACGATGGATTAGAATTTTTCGCTCGAGTGTTTCCGCGTCGCACGCGCTCACCGTTTCGCATTATTTGTAAAATGCGTATCTATTATCTGCACTAATACATGATAATTTGTTCGTTTCGTTGTACTGAACAAATTTGCCAGGAATTTATCATTCTCGGAAATAGAACATAGGTAGAGAAATACCTAGGCGCGTTTCGCGGAACTGGCGATTTTCCCAGCAAATTCCGGAGATCTCCCATACGACGACACTTTGGAAAACTGATCGTGGTCTGTTTTTTTTTTTTTTACTTTTTTCTTACGATCGTGCCATTATCATATCGTTGATTGTATTTTATTTGAGGAATAACTCCATTGAATTTTAAAGTCGTCTGAACTTTGCCTCAAACGTTAGTTTAGTCGTGGCTTATCTAGCGTGCTTGAAATCGAACGATAAGAACGTTTAAACGTTATCGTTAAGAATTCACGATAGTATTGAAGAACGGGTTGAAAGGATGATGAAGGACGAGGACAAGCAGCCTCTCCTTAACGAAGTTCACGACACTAACGACAGCGTCTGGTAAGCCTGCGATAATTAGTAAATTCGAGTCATTTCGCGACTACGGGCATTTCTTCATCGCCGATGAGGAGAAACGAATCTCAGAGACAGTTTCTTGTGCGTGCTTCAATCTCGAGATAATTTCTTATCGCTGTTTAATTCACCGCTGCTACATTAAGACTCAAGACAAGCAAAAATGTATGAACGATAGAAAAATTGAAGAAGTCTTTATCGATATATTACTAATTGGAAAAGTATCGGTCGCGGTTTGGAATCAAAGTCTCAGGACCGAATTTAATCAATAAAAGTCAGAGAACCTTTGCTTCTTTTAAGGCATTCAATTCGTTCATTGTTATATTAATTCTTAACTTTCTTTGATCTTTTTTTTTCCATATATATTCCATTAATTTTGTATGCGGTATGGTATTCGCGGTCAAGTCTTTTACTCGGAAAATCAGCCCGTCGATGTCTCTCGCGTGAGGATTTGCACAATTGGACGAAACCCAACAAGATGATTTCGTTGGCGTTTATCGTGCGCGCGTGAAGGTACGCGGTTTAAGATGATAAAGCAATTAATTTCGTACCGGGCGAGTCTCAGTTCGCCCGCGATCTGTAGCACAGAACGTTTCTCTCATTGAAACATCCGTGCGAATCCGCTTCCGCGGTCGACATCAACCGTCGTCGTTATCGTCGGCGAGCCGCCGGAGATAAAGGGGCGTATATATTTTTTACGAAATCAGCGATAACCGATTGGCGTATGGCCCCGGTGCATTCCATCATGCCACGACGGATCAGCTCACGGTGAACGTTAGGATATCAGAAGACGGTTTATTCGCGGAACAAGCAAGTTCCACGTATCTTATCCCCGCACGATAAGACTGTCTAGAAAGGACAATTGGAACTGTTCGGTTGATAGATGATGAAAAAACTCAGATATCTGTCTGTGTAACTGAACAGGAACCAGTCGAGAGCGTGTCTGTTACTGTCGAATTGGAAAAATTCATTTCAACTGATTTAATAAGATTGAACCGAACTTTTTTGACTAGTTTGGTATCTCGCGCGTTTTAATTCTAATGCGTGACAAGATAATCAAAGAATCACATCGTTATAAAGTAAATATTCACAATAATGACACTTTATAGTTCCATCTCTTTTTTTAAAGAATTTCAAATATATTATTAAACAGAAAAATGAGTTAAATAATTCTGACATACAAAATGAATTTTTTAAGCTTAGGTATACAACTTATAAGGTGTATATATAACTTAATTGAGCAAACAATACTCAAAAGTCTCAAATGTCAAAGTAACGTTTCAAAATTCGGTTATAGCAACGAAAAGATTACTCTGCTTAATGTCTGACTTTTCCCGCGAATATTTTTGCAGGGACGGCAACGATGACATCGATTACGAAGGTGTCGAGCACTCGATGCGCGTACGAACGGATTCCCAAATGGGACAGCTCGCGGAAACCAGCAAGATCAAGATCGGCATCGAGGGTATGACATGTCAGAGTTGCGTGAGGAACATCGAGGGGATGATCGGCGAGCGACCTGATGTCATCAAGATCAAGGTGGTCTTGGCGGAGAAGGCAGGCTATATCGAGTATAAGACGCACAAGACTACGCCGCAGGAGTTGGCGGATGCTATCGAGGATATGGGATTCACCGCAAGTTTGCCGGCGTCTGAAGTCGCGAAGAACGAAACCAAAGACACCTCCGTAATGCCTGTCGTCAGCACTTGTAACATACACGTGGACGGGATGACCTGTATGTCGTGCGTGAAGAGTATCACCGGTACGTGGAAGCTGATTATATAAGCTGAGAGAAGAGATATCAAAGAGAAAACTATTCTGTTAACTTCTAGACTACTAAAGATTCTTGAAAAGATATCTAAGAGAAAATATGTATTTATCTGCGGGTGATACTGATAACATATTTATATTTAAATTTCAATTTTTTAATTTTTTTTTTCACAATGTGTGTGTGTGTGTGTGTGTAGCATAAGTAAATATATTATTAATATTTGCCAAATATATATTTTATATTGTTTCTAAGTATGAAGATAATTCTATCTCTCTGAGATTCTTATTTCTTTAGATCTTAAATTCTTTTTTATCTTTCTTAGATCTTACATTTCTTTATCTTTATTATTTTTCTTAATTGCTGTTCATATTGTAATCTCAAATACCATGTCATTCATGTAGTATAATATGTCGAAACGTTAAATATCTAGTAAATGAACAGTTCCTCTAAAGACCGTGTTTCTCCTTCCGCAGGTGCTCTGTCCGAAAAATCTGGTATAAAATTCGTGGATGTCAGCCTGGAAGCTAAAGAAGCTAAAGTTACTTACAGCAGCGGCGATGTAACAGCCGATCAGATCGCAACTTATATTGAAGACATGGGTTTCATTGCATACGTGAAGGAAGTGAACGACAAAGTTCTGAAACTATCTTCGACCGTGTTTGTTAACAACAACCAGAAAAAGATGGAACTGTCATTGCAAACGAATGGCGCCGGTGATGTGAAGGGAAAATGGTCAAAGTGCTTCCTGCATATTTCGGTACGTTATACTCTGCTCGCTCTTGAGAGTGAGTTCATGAACTTGTCATATGGAACAAGGCTGTTATTTTTATAGGGTATGACTTGCGCTTCCTGTGTTGCCGCGATAGAAAAGCACTGTAAAAAATTATATGGGATAAATAATATATTGGTGGCACTGATGGCTGCCAAAGCGGAAGTCACATACGATCCTGATAAGATAAGAGCGGTGGACATTGCTTCCAGTATATCGGAATTAGGTTTCCCCACGTCTCTAATAGAAGAACCCGGAACTGGTGAAGGAGAGGTTGAATTAAAGGTAAAGCGACCGCGTGAATTTAGTTTAGGCTGGATTCAGAGATTTCAGATATCGGCTTAATTCAAATTAAATCTTTACTTCTCCGTTTTTTGAAAAGAGATCACGTTTGCCCAGAGAATAACATAATTTCCAGACATAGTATCAGTAGATACAAGAGAAACACGAAATATTTATTTTAAAGTGTGCAGAGTTAGAAACATACGATCCTGACATGGCTCTTCTTCGTGAAAGAAACGTCGCACGTTCTTGATGAAGTTAATTTCAGATTCTGGGGATGACCTGCGCATCTTGCGTCAATAAGATAGAATCGACTGTGAGAAAATTACCCGGCATACGAACGGCGGTGGTCGCTTTGGCGACGCAGCGGGGGAAATTTAAATTCGACACGGAGAAGACCGGTGTAAGAGACATAATCGAAAGTATTAATAAATTAGGTTTCACCGCCAGTTTGTTTAGCAATCGAGACAAGGAGAATCGAGATTACTTGGATCAAAAGTGAGTACACACTTCATGCTCGTACACCTTACCCAACTAGCCGTCGAAGGTTTTCTAATGACTCGTTGCTCGCACTTTGCGCAGGGAAGAAATAAGCAAATGGCGAACAGCTTTCTTAGTGTCTTTAATCTTTGGAGTTCCGTGTATGATAGCGATGACATATTTCATGTTGGTCATGTCGGTCGGTCACAAGACACACGAAGAGATGTGTTGTATAGTACCTGGTCTTTCTTGGGAGAATCTAATACTATTCATGTTTTCTACTCCAGTGCAGGTATGGATATAAGATCTCACTTATTTTATAGGTAAGACTTTCGATTAGCCGCAAGCTAACCGTTTGCACCTCTTATGCACAGTTCTTCGGTGGTTGGCACTTCTACGTACAAGCCTACAAGGCTCTGAAACACCGTTCGACCAATATGGACGTTTTAATCTCAATGACCACTACGATTTCGTACCTTTATTCTGTCGCCGTCCTCATCGCCGCCATGATAATGCAACAGAACGTCAGTCCACAAACGTTTTTCGACACTCCGCCGATGCTTTTAGTATTCATCAGTCTAGGAAGATGGCTTGAACATGTGGCGAAGGTATCTATGCTACGATTTTTTAACTCAATCTTAAAGATCACAGAAGATTGGAAACAAATTTACAATAAATGCAACTTTAACTTGAAAGACAAATCCAGCGCTTCCTCCGTAGAAGCTTCAAATATCAAATAGAATCTTTTGCAAGAAGATACATGATAAGTTCATTGAAAATATTATAAAGGCACATTCTTTCGTTCCAGGGCAAGACGTCCGAAGCTCTCTCGAAACTGTTATCCTTGAAGGCTACGGACGCAGTGCTGGTCTCGTTGGGACCCAATAACGAAATACTCTCCGAGCGTTTGATCAGCGTGGACTTGGTGCAACGAGGCGATGTGCTGAAGGTAGTGCAGGGTGCTAAAGTGCCGGTAGACGGGCGCGTTTTGTCTGGCCAGTCGACCTGCGACGAGAGTTTGATCACGGGCGAGAGCATGCCAGTGGCAAAGAAGAAAGGCTCGGTGGTGATTGGCGGCTCGATCAATCAGAACGGCCCGTTGCTGATCACCGCGACGCACACGGGCGAGCACACAACACTGGCGCAGATCGTGCGCCTAGTGGAAGAGGCGCAGACGAACAAGGCGCCCATCCAGCACCTGGCCGACAAAATAGCCGGCTATTTCATACCTCTGGTCATAGTAGTTTCTGTGGTAACGCTGGTGATCTGGATCGTCGTCGGCTACGTGAACGTCGAGAAGCTGCCCATATCTCACGACGACCAAATCGACAAGCACGGCATAAACCGTGAAGAAATCATCTTTCAATATGCCTTCCGCAGCGCCTTGGCAGTACTCGCAATCGCTTGCCCCTGTGCACTCGGTCTGGCGACGCCGACCGCGGTCATGGTCGGCACCGGAGTGGGCGCGCTCAACGGCATTTTGATTAAAGGCGCTGAGCCATTGGAGAATGCGCACAAGGTCAAATGTATCGTCTTCGATAAAACTGGTACATTGACGCACGGTGTACCTATCGTCACCAGGATCGGGATGTTCGTTGATGAGAGGATTTGTTCCTTGGTGAAACTATTGCTTGTCGTCGGCACGGCGGAGATTAACAGTGAACATCCGATCGCCTCGGGTGAGTGTATGTGTGTGTGCATGTCTGTTGTTCTCCGCAATACTGAAATCTGATTGTTGAAATCGAAGTCGCAGTGATGATTCATTTAATGATACTGGGTTTGGCTTCCGGACCGAAGCTGTGTTTTTTTCATGGATTAGTTCAACTTTTTGTAGACATTTCAGTTCATTTCATCAAAAAATAGAATAACTTGACGCTGATGAATTATCAGATAATTGCCAGCTTTCTTTTTCTTGATGAAGTGAATTGAAACATTGGAACTCCTAAGAAACATGGCTTTAACCCGGAAGCAATATTCAGCATTTCTCTATAGTGTGAATGTCCCGAATATTAATAGTTTTCTTTTTAATCTTGAAGCGATTGTACGCTATGTAAAGGACACGATCGGATCGGAGACTACTGGGCAGTGCACAAATTTTCAAGCGGTTGCCGGCTGTGGCCTCAAATGCAAGGTATCCCACCTGAGCGCCGCTCTATCTGATGCGCTGAAGTCCGAGAAGATCATCAATTACGCGAATCAGATGAACGCGGTGCCAACTGGCACATACAATCTCAACGATGTACCCATTGACAGAATACCGATCGCGACCTCGTCGCAGGAGAGACAAAATTTAGATCTGCAATTACTGTTAAGTCCGGATTCCCAAGGCGACCGAAACACTGCCTACGATGTCTATGAGGTCTGCATCGGCAATAGGGAGTGGATGCGCAGGAATGCGATCAACATACCGCAGGAGATGGAGGTGAGAATGGCTAGCGAGGAGGATCAAGGGCACACCGCTGTTTTAGCCGCGGTCAACAACGTCCTAGTGGCGATGATTAGCGTTGCCGATACCGTAAAGCCCGAGGCGCACCTCGCGGTCTACACCTTGAAGAAGATGGGTTTAGAGGTGATCCTATTGACAGGCGATAATAGAAAGACCGCGGCGTCGATCGCCAGACAGGTACGAGAACGAGACCTCACCAATTGTTCTCAGCATCATACGGTGGATTTTTTAATCGATTCCATTTTCTGGGGATGTATAGGTTGGCATCAGTAGAGTGTTCGCGGAAGTGTTGCCGTCGCACAAAGTGGCGAAGATTCAAAGACTGCAGGATCAAGGTCTGAGAGTTGCTATGGTGGGAGATGGTGTCAACGACAGTCCCGCTCTCGCGCAATCGGACGTCGGTATCGCCATCGCATCGGGCACCGATGTCGCTGTGGAAGCTGCCGATGTGGTTTTGATGCGCGTACGTTGTGTATAAAGGCACTTGTGCAATAAATACCGGCGACTTGCGAAATGTCTTGCGAGAATTGTCATATACTAACATTGTATCTTCTCATAGAACGATCTGCTGGACGTGATCGCGTGTCTAGACTTATCGCGAAAAACGGTCCGCAGAATAAGATTGAATTTCTTATTCGCCAGTATCTACAATCTCCTGGGCATTCCCATAGCTGCCGGGATATTTAGCACCTTCGGCTTCTTCCTGCAGCCATGGATGTCTTCAGCAGCTATGGCTCTGAGTTCGGTGTCAGTAGTAGGAAGTTCTCTATTGTTGAAGTTGTAAGTATACTCTCTTTTCCTCGAAATTGTAGTGTTAATCAGACTAGATTCGTAATTATTTGTTCGTCTGTTTTGCAAATTAATCGTAATGCAATATTTGAGATTACTGCGGTGCAAAGAAGTTCAGAAAGTCAATTACAATTATAGTATGATATTTGGAACTCTCACGATATGAAGTGCTGAACATTGATCAAAGCTCCAATTAGAGCAAGTACTTAAGATTAAACGGTTAGAATGTCGTGGTTAATGCGTCTCAATTCGCTTTGTATAGCTATCGCAAGCCGACCAAAGTCACTCTGGAGACTCCGGAGTACTTAGCAGCTATGCATGCCCATTCTACGGCGCAGATGATCGACATGGACACGATATCTCTCCATCGTGGATTGGACGACTCGGTCATGCCGGTCATCCACAGGTCGACCTCCACGTTATCCAGGTATGAGCACACGGGTATGGTGTTTTCGGAATATTCGCAGGACTGTAATAATTCCGTTGCCTGATATGGTATGGAATAAATCCATCTATTTTGAATCCATCACATGAAGAACGTTTGTCATTTCTGTCGGTTGTACTAACTGTTTCGTGTGCATTAACGCTGTTCATGATATCGCTCATGTTTGCGAAGCGATCTCGCGCAATTCGCCGATTTTCTTCCACTTGTGAATGAAATGGTTTGGTCGCGTATTGTTGAAAATATGAGAATATATTTTCTATATGCTCGATTAGAAGTTTCACCGCTAGAACAGCATTAACGCAATTAATTCTTTCAACAAAGTCTTCTATATTAACATAATATAACGTTCTTCCTTACTACTCACCGGAAGATCGGTGTTTCTTATACAAATAATACCCAAGAACTCAAGCGTGACTAACCGATGGGAATCAAGCGCAACTAATCGAAAGAAAGCATTTTATATTTAAGAGATACTTAATATTGCTAAATACACAGGGTGAGGAAAAAGTCCCGGTTCGAGATATAAAATATCTCGAAAATCAAACGTTTTAGAAAAAAATGTTTCGAACAAAAGTTGTATGATTTCAAGGGAGACATAAAACAACTATATCATTTTGTTTACAAATGGCACCACTTTCGAAATACTCACTGATCATTACTTTTCTTAAACAGAAATCCCAATTTTTTATTACACCGCCTTTTTCTACCAATTAATTTGAACAACTTTGTCCTCACCCTGTATATCGTTGAATTGCTTATGATTTTTTATCGCGTGTATTTTCGCGATGAACAGAAATCGATTCTTTGAGTACGAGTAATTTAATGTATTCCGTTCATTTTTCGGATGCTTATATCCAATTAATGTGTTCCTTAGAAAGTGTGAATAACAACAAATAGGCTGTGAAAAATATTTTTGTGAAAAGTATTTTTGAAATTACACGATTAAATTATTTTGTAATCATCGACCGTTAGAGTAGGCTGATGCTGTCGATTGTCATCAATTTCTGTTCATAATTTTTCCTTTCCGGAAAATATCAAATTACGTTTGTTATTCTGTAGAAATTAGCTTGTTATTTAAAACAATATAAGACTGAGAAAAGCATTGTACGATCAACGTTATATTATCGAGTTGAGAGAATGTCTTTTACTGTAAATATTGTATTTTATACATACAATAAACAAATCGTGTAAAGAGAACGACACAACGGAGACTGCTGTACAATATTTCGTAAACTATTGGTTATATTGTATCGTAGACATTGAGATTGTCTACTGTGCACATATTATGTAAATAAAATAAATGTTCGTATATTCTTTCAGAATATATGAAGTTACTTAATTTTAATTATTCATTTTTTTTTACTAATGATCACCTTTCATTCGCATGTTACTTTCATGTATTTCCTGTTTAAGAGATCATACTGTCTTTCCACTAGAAAATATAACAAATAAATCAACTGCTGAACGTGGGAGCATTTATAAAAACACAAAATCAACATCAATAACATTGAATATATTATTTCTCTTACATATGCGGTTCATGAAGAATTACAGTGGCATATTGCACCTAACGCATCTAACTACTGCTACTATCTTGAAGTTTTGTACAATCAGTATTATGAGTGTGATAACATCTGCGACGGGTCTAACAATTAATAATTTAACTGAAATCGCTTCTCTACTTACTATTTGTAGCTGAATATTGCACGTGTGACATGCTCTTTCACCCATTAATTGTTAGCGAACTTTCTGGCACCGTGAAATTTATTTGCAGAATATTTGGGAAATCAAAACTCGATATAGAGGGACATCTCCTTGGCGAGGAGGTAGATGAGATTGATTTGGCTGTCGATTTCTCGAAGTATCGCAAAAACGCAAAGGACCCGATGGACATTACTGCCGTATAATCTCACTGGCTGTAAGAAAATGCACTCGACAAACATTTTTATTTTGTCAAGTTGATACTTCGTTAAATCGTTAAAAAAAAACATCTTTAGTATTACGTTTCCCATTCTACAGTGTTAACAGAAGATATTGTAAATAGTCAAGCTGACTGAAATGATATTCTCTTATGACTTCTCGTATGTGTGTGTATGTGTGTACGTGTGCGTGTGTATTGTGTATGTGTATGTCGCGCGCATGTATAATCTCGTCATGTTGATTGCATGCATTGTGTTTTCACATGTATCTTCTGTCACTTTAGAAAAAAATATTATATCTCGGAAATGCTAACAAATTCGCACGAATATCACTTCGTGCGTCTTTACGAGTGATCTTCATGTCTAAACGCGCCGTGACTTATGTAACTTTTATTGCGTGCATCAATAATTTAGTTGCAAATTTATCAATATATAACAAGGTATCAGTACTTCCTCTTTTTTACTGCCGTTAATGGTCTCTTTAACAAATACAGATCTTATCAGTAGTCTTCCATGCATCACATGTACTTAATTTGAATATCAGACGAGGTCTGGTATCCATCTGGTATTTCGAAGGATGTACATTTTTCTCGTTGAAATATATTATAAATGTTTTAAGTCAATGCGCCCTTCGTACGTTGTAATATATTTATTATGTGAGATTATATATTACTTTTCTTTTTTACCTTATGAAAATTAACGTATAAAATAAGCATAAAATGTATATCTTATATGAAACGTACAAAAATTAAAAAAGGAAACTGCAGAAGAGAAAATCTTGTGCGACATATTTATACATATGTCTAATTGAAACTTTTATATCAGTCTTTCAAATAAACATATACTTAATCTAGCATCGCATTACTGTGCTAACAATTATACAAGTCAATTATATGTATATATGTATGTATGTGTATGTATTGTGTTAAATATATATTTGTACACGCATATATACACTCATAATATACACTGTATAACTGAAACTTTCTCTTTTTAATTTGAAAGAATTACTGCATGCATGCTGATATAAAGTATATTTTTCAATAAAAAAAAATAAATTATATATATATTTTCCCAAATTATTTTTTTTCTATTTCCAAGTGAAATGAACTTGTATAAAACTTCTTTAAAAAAAATCTTTAACGTAAATATTAAAAAATAAAACTATTGTCTTTCTAAATGTATCACATTTGAAATATTAAATTAAACAATGTTAAAAAAATATCTATTAGATTCGAATATCAGTGTTTTGTCTCTAGTATATATATACCAGATGTGTCTAACTGTTGAGACATATCAACTATGCTCGTCTCAGAAGAATAATTCACAAAGTCAGATATCATATTGTTATCCATATTAGTTGCTACACTATCCTGGTGGATAGAAGTACCCATCAATCCGTTATCAACTTTGTAAGGATCCAATTCGTATGTGTCGATAGCAAATGTCTTCTCTGATTTCGCATATGAAATCAAATGATCCTTTTCTCGCCATTGATCGTTATATACACTTACTTTCGCCGCATCTGGGTTATAATGATTGTCGAAATATGGATATTGCTCGTACTTGAATTGTGTTTTGCTCGCATTAGAAATTGCCGAGGTGCTCGCATTAAGGGAACTCGACGATGATGTGTTATACCATGTAGAAGTTGTGGATGGAATATTCACGCTGTTATTCGGAAACATCAAAGAATTCATATGATACCGGTTGTCAAGCAGAGGCATCATATTCTCCTTCATCATGAGTTCGCACCCACTGTTGAGATTTTTGTAGTATAATTTCTTGAAACTATCGTCTGTTAGTAGCGATTGATAATAATGAAAGGGATTAAATGGCGTCATAGCAGAATTCAAGAAGTTGTTCGGGATGTTAACCGGTATAGAATTCGAAGTGATATTTGCTGCTTGTTGGAACGTAGCGTTCGTTCTTGGAAAATTCTCCATGTACATGTTCCATATACAATTTGGACCATAAGTATTGCACGGACAATGAAATTTATTTTCTGGAAGTAACTTGTAAGGATCTGTCGAATTGATGACAGAGTTAAAGTATAGATTTTCATTTGGTTTCCAATTGTAATCAATAGTGTAAGCGTGATGTTTATCATTTATGTAGCTGCTCTGTCCTGGTTCAGTCGGTATATTGTTGATACTGTTTGACACAAAATTCTCATTGCATTTTGGTGCTGTCATCCAAGAGTTGGTTACTGACATTACTTGTTGATTCGTATTGACATTACTTGATCGATATTTCAAGTTGTTATAATCCAACTGTTGCAATGCATTTGTATTATTTTCTAAATCATATTGATAAGATTCCTGCTGACTTACAACACTTGGGCATGAAAACTTTGTGTCACACATCTTGCTTTCAAATTTCATGGATGTGAATGGAGGCAAAGTACATTTACAGCATCCTTGAGAATTAATTTTATACAGCTCACTTTTTCTGTTTTCCATTGATTCCTTATTCTCTTGCATAAGAAACTTGGTTGCATCTACCACTTTTGGTGAACTCTTGTTTGATCTCTTTGCAGGAGCCTTTTGTTTCATTATTTTAGGTTTTATTTTCTTTTCCTTTTTATCATCTACCAACTGATTATTTTTCTTGCTTTTTCTGGCAGTTACTTTTCTGTTTACTTTACTTGTCAATTTTCCTGTTGTAACAATAAACTTTTCTTCTGTGAACATTATATCATCTTTTACAGAGACATTTGTTTCTTTATGTTTTACAATCTTGTTCTCATAAATTTGAGAAGACTCATTTTTCCATTCCTTGCGATCCAAATATATATTAACATTGGTATCTGTTTTCACTATTGGATTATATGCAGTTGTTTCTAATTTTACCATAGTCTCGTTCATTCCAGTTTCATCCACTACAAATAAGAGAAACATATTTCATGTAATATTAAAAATATGTAAACTGTTAGTACAGCGAATTTTATAAAAAAAATTTATTTAAGTAAAAAGTATTTTAGGAGACTAAATTACTGTCATTTTGAAAAAAGAAAATTATATCTGAAAAGACAATTATTTATTCTTTTATACAATCCTATCTTATCTGATTTATCTTTTTTGTTTTTTTTTCATACGACATTACCTTGTCCAATTTTTATCTGTGGAAGATCAGTTTGCTGTGTACAATGCAAAGACATCTCTTTTCCAGGAAAAAGATTTAACTTTCTTATGTTTTCCATTCTGCAACGCAGTTCCCGCAAAAGTATTAATTTTCTACGCATTTATTCGATAAAAATGAGGTAAGTAACAAATATCGATAAAAGGAATACTTACGAGATTGACACGGCGCTTTTCTATCGTACGCAATTGTATGTGGTTGCACTGTAGTTAGATGACAAATGACACTCTTGAAACGTCTGAAGTGTGATTCTATGGTATATTTTATTATACGTTGTGAAATATATGAAATATCATAACTCGAAAATTGAGAAATTTTTGATACGTCTTTTGATGATATTACCTTCCACGTTCTTTGATAAATGCCGGAAGATCACTAACGGACGTGATTGATCGAAGCGACGTATTGCCAAGGAAATTATTCGAATACTATCGGCACTTCCGTAATAACGCGCCAGTATTGCCAATAGAAATCTGTAAGAATTTTCGATTTTTAGTCGAGCAATATTATGGCGCGCTAATTTTAATATTTATTTTTGTGAATAAGGTTTCCCAATTTAAATAATTTTAATATCCCTATCTAAAAAATCATATATATATATATATGCGCGCGCTCACAAAGCTATTGAAAATTTATCATTCTATATATGACGTTAATATTACACATACATATATACACGTCAATATAACTTAATAAAATTATTTTGAATAATACAGATAATAATAAAATACTTTATGTAATATTGTTTCCTATTTTGTTTCTTAACAAAAGGTGTCAAGAAAACGATAATTACATATAAAAAATCAACTCTTTTTATTTTTTTCAAATGATATACATATTACATTATATCATATTAATATTATATTTACATTATTCTAAAATATGCATGTAACATATTTTTATTTATATGTGAAGTAGTAGCAGTTTGAGTGATAATGTTAAGACAATATATATAATTCAGAAAAAAACATTCTTTGTATATATACAAGTTTCTAATTCAATTTCTAAAGCAATGAAAACTTATTTTTTCTTCTTTTTTAACATTCATTTATAAACATAGAGCTAAAAATTATTAATATTTTTTTAGAAATTAAAACATTATTTTTTAAATAAATTTGTTTTCTAATTTTAATTATTTCAATAAAATCTTTCTCAACCACCTGATATACATATACATATAAAATATCTCACTAATTATAACATAAATAATACATAAAAATAAAATACAATAATATATAATACAAATAGAATATTTTAAATCTTAGAATACTTTAAATTATAAAATATTTTAATCTTAATATTTAAGTAAAGAGAATTATGCTAATAGAACTTTTCCTATATCATTAAATGTTAATAATAATAATTTAAGTATTAATAATATAATTTAAGTAATAATAATATAAAGACATACAAAATCAAAAAATAATAAAATTATAATACATAATAAAATCATAAGAGTTTTAGTTATTAAAATTTTACCACAAAAATGTTTCTTTCTCTTTGACGATAGCAATTGAGGCACATACTTTGTTCTTCTTGATTATATCTAATAAAAAAATATTTACAATTACAGATTATGCATATTTCAAACTGCTAAGAAAAATATATTTAGTGATTTATAACTTACATGGATAGAGAACAATTTTGACAAAACACTTCTGAGCATTTAGCACATGCAGATAGACAAGAATTACATAATATTTGATCACAATAATAACATCTATTTATTGTGAGTTGGTCTATCACTCTACAGCATCCACATAGATCTACTCGTACATCCTGGAATTAAATAAATCTAGCAGAAACTTATAAAGCCCATATATTAAGAAACTTCAAATTTTGACGGTTACAAGAAACTTACATTAATGATCTTATCGCTGACCTTCAGTTGTAAGTTGTTAGTCAACAGCATCTGTTTCAGATTGGATGCAGATTTTAATTTACAAGAAACTGGTAGTCGAGTTGAAGGTAAGTCTATAGGATCTATTTGTGCAGATTTGTTCAATTTGTGTGACAGTGCTTTTGAACCTGCCTTAAGCAGACTCAAAGTTTTATCTAGAAAATTCAATTGAGATAAAAATAAAGCATTGCACAACCAAGTTTATAATTATTGAGTATAATGGTAATTATACTTTTATATTATATATATATATATAATGTATTTCATGAATATATACTATATGTATCAGTTGTTGCATTTGATTATTTATATAGTATGTATAGAACTCATATTGAAATTGAATATCAACGAGGCTTACAAAACTAAGTACAATCTCACCATAAACTTTCTTCATCCGCTCATCCTTGGACACACCATTATCCACTTGTTTTTGTCCTATATGTACTTTTATCTGCGGTAGTAAATCTTCGTCATAAGGATAGGCACGTTTTGCCATGTTTGAAGCGATTGTTTTATTCAATTGTTGTTTAACTACTTAATTATTGTAAATGTACGACCAGGTTATGTCGCTACTAGATTCATCTCTCTCCTTGATCATTAGAAAATAAAGGCCGTCTAACTAGTCGTTGAGTCGTACTACGACCTCGATTTTCTATAGAAGACAGTGACTCTTAGCGGAGAGTTAGGAACTAATAAAGTACAACGGGTTTTATCCTAACGGGTCAATGTACAGTCCGATTTGCTATTTTCAAGAACAAGTTTATTAGCTATCTTATCGTTATTTACCGTTGTACCATTATAAAGGGAATTCATCAACGCTTTTTATTCATTATAAAACAAATTTTAATACGGTAATTTTCGTGAATATCATGAAGTGAACGTTTTGAGAGTCACCGCGAAACGTAAAAAATTTAGGAGACTGCGTGAGTCTAGCCGTGGAATATGTTCACAGTTCATAAGTAGTTCGAATGTAGGGTTACCTAAACTTTCCACGGACGAGCGAATGTACTCGATAAATATCGCGGAAGTTCGCGAGGCGCAGCGTAAGGCACGCGTGTTATTCTGTTTTTACTTCGCAAAACGAGGTGTGCAACACGAAGCTTGTATTTCGTGTCAAGGTCCGTTAGTGTGGACGTACGATGAACGACATCGAGAACTCGGAGAACTCTGGCTCCTTCAGGTCGTACTATGCGCTGCTGGTCGCATTCAAGACCATGAAGGAACGCTGTCAACAATTGCAGACGCGACTGGCCGCGGTGGAGGAGGAGAACGTGTGCCTCAGGCTCGAATGTGGCAGGGATACATCCACGGCTGTTGTGAAAGCAGATACGATCGACAATGACGCTGATAAAGGCATGATAGAAATGCTGCAGGTATATGAGACATTCTAGATTTGCTTTTTAAAGTGCCTGTTAACTATTTGACGCAATTATAGGCCTGTTCTTTTTAGATACACAAGTGCTGCATTGAAAAATTTTCTCTTTCCTTCAGTATTTAATCATATATTAATTTCATTCTGAAAGCAGAAAGTGCAATCTAGTTTAGCTAAAAAGAACAGATATATATATTTTACAGATATAGATACATATGAAGCTTCTAGTAGTAGTAAAATAGTGAATCTTTGTGGTAAAAGTTTGTACAGTACATTTAGATACATTAATATACGATAATTCGTCAATATTTTAGTTCTTATTTAATGGATAGAAAAATTAAGATGTATTAAATCTAACAGCAAGTTTTTATAAAACGCAGTGCAAGTAATATATTTTCGGATTACAGAAAAAGATAGAAGAACTTACAAAGCAAAAAACACAACTTACTCATCATGTTTTCATGGTAGCTGCGGAAAATCGTCAGTTATGGAACAGGTTAACGAGGCTGACAAAAACTAATAAATCTTTAGGTAGCCAATTGACAAAAATCTCAGATACGCTTAAGCAGTATCCACCCACACAACCATCAGATATTTTATCATATAGTTTTTGTGATATCACAGATTTAGACAAACAAGATATTAATAAGAAACATTTATTAACTACAGATAATGGTTTGTATGAAATTAAGAAAAACTTGAAAAGAAAATCTTATTATCATTAACAACCATTTTTTCTTTATCAGGTGATAGGGAACAGAGTTTAGAAGAAATATCTTTACGACTGATTAATAGTATTATGTTAGAGAAGTCTACTCTAGAGCAACAATATGCAGAGGTAAGGGATTAATACTGATTGTATTTCAAATTAATATCTTATTTGAAATCTTATCATCTGCAGATGATAGAATTACAGAATGGTTCTGAATTAAATTTACAAAATGTTGGCTTCACATATCCTGAGGATTCTGATATGGATTCACTGGAGCAATTGAAGCAGCATGAAATCCGATTAGCTCAAACTAAGGATGCCTTATTGGGTCAACAAACTAGGTTAAAAAGGGCTCTACAAAACTTTAAAAAATTGAAACAAGGTAAGTTCTGAAATTATATTATATTATTACAGTATCGAGGTTTTCCCTTGTTATTCATTAATCTTTTTAATCATGATTTCATTATTGATTTTCAGTATTAAATTATACATTAATCAAAATAAAAGAAATATGATTTAATCTTTGATAATATAAACTTTGAAAATGTAACAATTTAAATAATTAACAATTGATAATAATACTTTATTCAGTGTTACCACCTTTTATACATTTATATACAATGTACATGTTTCTCAATTGTTGGTGATTCAATATGTGTATAATATTTATAAAGTTTAACATAGTTTCCTATAAAATTATCAAGAAACTTCAGAACGAACATATATTTCTCAGGAGCAACATGTAGTAATTGTCAAAAGAACGCAAATAAAAAAATGTGCCAGGCAGGTACACAATCTGATTCTGATGACAGCTTTAAGGAACATGGAGCTACTCAGACTAGTCTAATGACACCCAGCATTTCAATGGAAAAATGTATTAACCATCCTGATAATACAGACATAGACACCAATATATGTCCATTATGTGGAACTATTTATGGAAAGTCCGTCTCATTTGCGGAATTCCATGAACATGTGTTAAGTCATTTTACCAAGGAGTTGTCTATAGATGGCTTTGAACTTGTGCACTGATTTTTGCAAATAGAACAATTTGACACGTCCAGACAACATATTGTACACGACTGTTCTCTTAAAATTTCAATGCCTATGTAAAAGATGTATATAATTTAATTAAATTTCCGGAATATGGAAATAGATATACAAAATATATATATATATATATACGCAAGTTAGTGACATAAAACAATAAAACAAGTCAGGATGGAATAAAGAATAACTATTATACATTGCACACAAAGATGTATATATTTTTATAATAATAAACAGAAAATTAAGAAGCATCTGTGTTTTATAATTACACAAGAAATGTAATAAATATTCTATTTTCTACATAAAGCATCATAGAATGTACCACAGAAAATTCGATTGTACCAATAGCTATCTTGGCCAACATACACATATAGACACACAGAGATATACATATCGACTTTTTATAATGAAACACCATTAAATTCTAAAAGTTTACTTTCATAGTTTTTAAATGCTTTTTGTTAAATCTATATTGGTTTATATTTGTTTTTTATATATTATTTTTAAATCATATCTTGTTACATTATATTTATGTTATATCAATACTTTCAATTTTATTTTCTTTGTCATTTTCATTTTCTCCCTTTATCCTATTTTGTTACTTTAAAATTAACTTTATATTGAAGTAACTTTATATTCGTAAATATAAAGATAATAATAGTAACAATATAAATGAAAATTAATATAATATAAAATGGGACACAACATACACAAAAAAATCATTATCCATTTTGCCAGCTTTAGTTTAGAGAAATCCATCTTTCTTAAAACGTTTGTAACTTTAGAAACATGTTAAAATATTTACAAGCATTTTAGAACTTATAAACATTCTGGAAAAATGAATATTGATTCTTTTTTTAAACTACAAATTTGATCTATTTTATACTTACATGTTCAGTTTATTTATAGAATCATACTATTTACAAAGTAAGACATCCTAATTTAATAAATCTGATTTTCATAATTAATTGAAATTATTTTAATTTAGTTCAACAGATATATCCTGAATTTTTACTGCAAATTGTTAAAATCTAATTTCCATCTGATCCAGTATACTTTATGCAAGATTTGTGGGTTTAACATCTGTCTTATTTGATGGTTCCTGTGTTGTTGGTTCAAGCAAATTCTGATGAAACCATGAAGGTCTTTTCTTTGGCATTTCAACTACTTTCTGGTTCTGAAAAAATCAAAGTACATATAAATTAAAAGAAATCAATATTTTATGAAATTATTATTATAATCTACAATATGTTTAGTACCTTCCAGAATTCATCTGTTTTCTGATCTTTTTCTCCATCATATAGTACAATTACATTTTCTTCTACTGGGCTTAATCCTAATTCTTTTTGAATAGCATCTTGCATTTCCTTGGTCTCGAGCTTTACTTTCTCATAACAATGTCCTATGTATATTATGATAAAGGGATATTACAGGAATACCAAAATATATTTATATATATATTTTATATTAGATAAATATAAATCTGTTTTTATCATGTACTTTTATATATTTTATATTTGAAATGATATATTAAACAAAGCATTTTAGTGATTATTTTGCAGCTAATTTCAAGTAAACTATTTTATAAAAATAACAATATATATATATATTTATTTATTTCTAATTTGGACACACACATATACACACACACACACACACACACACACACACACATACACACACACACACACACACACACATATATATATATATATAGATATATATAAATAATTTTTCCTATTTCTATTGTATTGTTTTATATTGTTAACAAATAAAATTTCATTACTTTATTATGAGTTCTAATGTTGTACACAATACTTACCACATAAGCGATTAGCTTCATAATGATGACCACAGTTTATACACATTAATATATTAGTTTTTGCAACTAATGGCTTCCACACGTATTTAAGAATTCCAAACCTTCTTTTATATCTTCTCTCCAAACTGCGTCGAGATTTTGGAACTGCCCATAAAATACCATTCTCGAAAATTTCTTTTAAGGATCGGCTACCAAGACGGTTAACTGGTTTCGGTTCACTCAAAAAGTTACAATCGATTGCGTATAGTGGTCCTGCATACAAAAATTAAACTTATTTTTTACTCAACATACATAACTTCATTAAAAAAATTTAAGTAAATAAATCCGACTAAAATTAATATTATTTTCTCATTTTATATACACAAAATTTATCATTGTACGCGACGTTTCGATTGAGGTTAAGAAACATATAAAGTTAAAATGTCTCTTAAATTGTTTGTATCAACTGTTCGAAATTATTTTGATACATTTTTTATTAATCAATGTCAATTACTTGGAGGAAATCCATGACCAAAAAATATCTGGATTGCTCGTTCTAAATTTTGAAGAGCCAAATTGAACCTATTGACCATGCCACCCGCCATTTTACTGCACGATGTAGGCATGCGTTCTGATATTCGCTGTCAGTACTAAAAATCTATAGTTCATTGGTCTGTTCTTTTCAGCTGCACTGCGGAACTAGTGCAATAAGTTAGAATGAGACAACTATATTTTTTCTCGCTTTAACTTATTGCACCAGTTCAGTAGTGCAGCTAAAAAGAACAGACCACATGTTACAAATAGACAAATATTGAGTACATGATTGGCTGAACGTTTGTCATATTGGGTGCATTCAGTACTATAACCGCTCACTGAGCACTAAATGAGCTCTTGCATCTGATTGGTGTATATATTTAAATCTAAAGGTATATACCAATCAGATGCAAGAGCTCACTTAGCGCTCAGTGAGCGGTTGTAGTACTGAATGCACCCATTATATCGGAATATATTTAATGTAATGGAAGTTAAATATGATGGTAATAGATAGATATTAGTGAAAGTCTTTTACTTAATGACTTTACTTAATCACCATATCTCATATCACCATATTAAATTAATTTTTATTTCAGTAATCACGTTTATTTATATACGATAACATAGAGTAGTGTTTAACGAATTTGCCGAGGGAAAAAATATTAATATAATATTTGCTGAATTATTCATAGTTTATGGACGAAATCAGTGGAGTATTAGATAAACATTAATATTTAATTAACTCTTGGTATATTATACTATACGTAGTCATGTAAAAACAGTTTTTATTTTTTTATTGTATTTTACGTTATTATTAAAATATATATAATGTGCACACTAAGCGGCTAGAAAATTAGATGTAAAAAGAACCGTACATATAAGAGAAATCTTTTATCCGGATCTTGTTTAAATTGCGAATTTAAATCTTTCTATGCATATACGTATACGAGCGCATCCATTGGTCTATTTTCCGCGAAACACGCATGCGGCTTGCGACTATTTACACGAGATTCGTGAAAATCACATCGAAAGCTCATCTGAAAAGCAACGCATCCTAGCACCATCAAAAAAGGACCCGTGCTCTCATTTACAGTTCGAGGTTTGGACGATACTTCACCTGGGATGGCGGAGGGGCGGAAAAGAACGTGGCGCTCGGGAACGGAGGTGGGATCGAGTGGATAGCCAGGAGAGAGACCAGGCTATTCGGTCGGTCGGTTAAGTCCGCTCACTACGGTCCTCACTATGGCGTGTATAGCGTCGAGTAGGCTCTGTGCTCGTGCGGAGAAACTGTGCCAGTTCGGACATTTCGCCCAATTACGGAGGGAACTTACGACTACGTGTGCAAAATCACGGTCAGCTGTCGCCCGGACATGCGGCACGCTTCTGCAACGATGCCAGGTACGTTTTCGCGGTTGCGAGACGCGGTTATTCGGTCTGTCAACCTCGACGTCTTTCTCCTCTCGTTCTCGCGGCAGAGATTCATATTCAAATTGTCGCGCGTATCGCGCCTTCTCGTGAATCGCGGCTTTCTACGACGAGCGGGGGAATTTGTTGGACATGACTCGTCCGCAAAAACGCGTCGTTTTATTCAAGTTTCACGATTACATTCGCAGCAAACACAGAGCACAACGGTCGAACATAACCTTAAGCGCGCGTCAACATAATTCACTGCACCGTTTCTGCATGTGACTTAACCTACATCAGCTCGGAGTCACGATGTGCTCCAGATGATCGCACGATGAGTATTGAGCGAGTAATTTTGGGTAGATTTAAGATTAAATACTATGACACTCGTCCGTATTAAATTACATAACATATCTTACTAAATACGAATATATTGTCACAATGTAACAAAATGCAACAGATAATATCACATGTAAATTATATAAATTATATGCAACATATACACCAGTAATTTCTCATTCGTATGAAACTGTAATTATATAACATAAATATGATATGCTACTGAAATGTCACTTGTCCATTACGTTAGTTACCGAAAGATTGTATGACAGTCATATAGATTACTAAAATGTTATATAACTTGAATATAAATTATCTACTTCTTCTAGCAACCACAGATATATAATTGCATGTGACGATTACAAGCTGTCGATCAAGCTTATAATCAAATATCAATGAATTATCAAATTAATTGAAAAAAATGTTTCCAAAAATGTAACAATTATTTTATGTTAAAAACGGTACTTGATTAATGAATAAAATTAAAGCATTTTGCTATCCTAAATTGATTAATTATTATAGCTGATTCACTTTCGTCATTATGAATAATGTTTCAATGGGAAGTACTGTTAAGGTCATTCTACAATGAGGTTGTAGTAGTATGCAGTAAGCAAATTGACCAATCACAGTCGATTATTCTTCGATCGTAAAGAAAATAATCGATCGTGATTGGTTTTTTTGACTACTGCATACTACAACCTCATTGTAGAATGACCTTTACTGGTGACAGAAATTACCATTGACCAAAAAGTCAATTACTTTACCATAAGAGTGGACTTGATGGTGCAAGAATCACTGTACTACAATCATCTTATTATACATTATACATACATTCATGAATTATATTTTATATATGATGAGCAAAAACTGTCTATCAAACGATTTAATAACTGCATATAAAAACGTATAGGCATAATGCGAACATGCGTACGAATATACTTAAACATACTTAACATACTTAAACGTAATACATATACATATGGATGTGATTATAATATGAACATATCTAGACGATATTCTACACTTGTTATATTGTATGTTACTTTTATGTTACGTAATGGTTGTATTCTGTGTTTGCTGGGGTGTGTCAAATGTCGTACTGTGAGGCAACGTGTTCTCCTTCGTAGGCTTTTGTTCGGAAGATCGCGTGTCCCTCAGTGTTTTCGAAGAGGAGAGAGTCGATTGATATCGGTAGGTTATCACGACGCACGGTAAAAAAGATGTGCATGCTCGCACGAAATATTTCTCAACGGAATGACGCGTCTTATCACAAGAGTTGTTTATCTGTCGATTCTAGCAGACGCTATCTGGGTCGTCTGCTAGTGATGGTATGTTCCGCGGAGTCAAATTAGCGACTCGTTCATTTGATAACAAACGTATGTTTGAAAAATCCGTATCCGATCTGATGTAAATTAGCATATCATTGTAATTCGCATTTCATCGTATCGTTCGCGCGACGCGAAATTTCGTCAAGATGCAAACAGGTACTGAACACATTTTAGACACTGCTTTGACTACGTGAGCGTGCATGCTGACTGCTGTGCGCATGCGCGCTTTCAATATTTGAATTCGTTAGTTCGCAGAGGTTCGAGTTGCACGCACTTTACGGAGCTTTGAGACGTTTAAATTTGTATCATTATTTATGTTCTTAGAACGTTAAAGATCTTTATTACCATCTTGCTAACTTTCGCTATTTATTTCAATGCCCGATTTACATTTGAATCACTACAATTGTGATAAATAAATATAATTCGCAATGCGCGTATTCATTAGCTCGTTTCATTCGCTCTCTATCGATTATGTATTTAATTTGTCGGGAAGAGTTGCTTATGTCTCATATATAAATTAGCGAGGAACTACAATAATATATTGGTAACTACTATTCACGGTAGTTGGCATAATAAGTATTTATCAAGCCTGAGGAATGTCATGCGTAAAGTTTACGTCAAGATATTATAATTTCTTCAGTGTTCTTCCCAAAAATTATACCGATGATGATATGCATGAATGAACGATGGAAAAACATTTTTAATCACTCTTACGGCAGTACTTGAGTGATTTTAAAACAAAACACGTACGGAGTCTTATCAGTATACTTTGAAGTAATTGCATATGCGAATATGTATAATCCTGTACGCGCATGTTTTAACATCAGTGTAGATGTTTTAACATCAGATCAATATTTTTCTAAAAAATTAAATAACTGACGATTTACATGTCATATGTATAATAGATCGAATGCATGCGGTAAAAAACTAATTTGATTTCGGCGAAATACAAATTTACTTTTATGCAGATTCAAAAAACTGAGTTGAAATTGCACAGGCAAGTGCGTCATCCACGTTTACGTAACATAATATTCGAATGAGTTAATAATAATATTGATATATAATAATTTATGTTAAAAAATTCAATGTAAGAATTGCCAAGTTTCGTACTTCGTTTGGAAAAGTTGCAATAAGAAATTGTAAATTTGTCCGGACTGACCGCGCATCTCTTGGTCAAGACGCGGATATTTCGTGAATCGAATTTTCCTCGGCGAAAGTATCAAGATGGTGATTGATTGATGGTGATAAGATGATCATTCTCGAAGAGTGAAATTAAAAAGAAAAATTTGCCCTCGTTGTTTCGCAAATTAATTGCGATCCCACCCAGCATACATTCATTCCCGAGAGATCGAAAGTACAGTTGCAATTTTCGAGCCGAGGCGTACGTGCGAAATCGCGACGTACTTTCTCGTCTTCGATCGAGAGCGTTGTAGAGACCGGTGGGCGGTTTTGAAATTCTACCATCGATGACGTTCCGCGGATCGTCAGTTCGAAGACGTAATTGCCATTATGTAAGGCTTAGGTAAACTTCGGGCTGCAACCGAGCCGTCGTTAAGGATGTTTTCTCGTGTCCGTCTGTATTCTTTTTTTCTCTTCCCCGAATTTGTCGTATGACGAACGAAGGTCGGCGTTGAGGAAAATGACGACGATAACAATATTCTTGGATCAACGAACAGCGACCGGTTGGGTAGATTTTCGAGCTGTACTTGCGCTCGTAAGTAGGCTAACCGGCTTTTGCGAGAGATCCCTCTTGGAGTACATCGGCGTCGCGGTATCCGGCAGCGCTCTTGACTTTCTCGACTCGGCCGAGCAGCTTCGCGTCATCTCCACACCTGTTTTTTTGCAATTCCTCGACTTTTACTCCTCTCATGGAAGTAATAACGTTTTTCGAGAGTGAATCGAGAGTGAAAATCACGGAAATCTGGAAAGCCCTCGCTGCTTATTTGCACGCGTCGAAATTGGAAATCAGAGGGGTGAAGCGACTTGTTGTAACTCGAATAAATTCGGTCTTGAATAAAGCACAAATTCGAGACGATATATTCTCTTCATCTTTCTCGTTAAGAGACTTCTATCCGACTAGATCTACTCCGATTTTACACGTGGGATGAATATAACGGACGATATTCTTTATTTAAATTAATTTTCTTTTCACTTACAGAACAAATTTGTCCTCGTATTTATGATTAAATTGAAGATGGGGGAATTTTTTGTTCGTGTGAAACATATATAATTTTCGAAATTTCTCACAATGTTCGGACAATTTTCGGCATGTCAGAATAGTTTTTATTTATAATTATATATCCACTCACGTGTATTCACATCATATGTTAAAATAATTCATATCGACAAGAATGGAGACTTCTAAAAAATCGCGAGACTGACGTAACAACTTTTGCCGGTTTATTTCTACCGGTCTACTTGCCGAAGAAAAATATTAGTCGAGCCTAAGTTGGAGTGAAATTATACTCCAAACGTGATTTTTATGTTAGCGCTGCGACTCGCATTCGTACACCACGGTGATACCTGGTACTAACGCACGGGTATACGCACTTTTTACATTCCGCTCTCGCAAAAGGTGCACGTGTGCAGATACGTACGTGCAGGAATGCATGAATATGTTCACAATGCAATTATTCTTGTTAACGCAACGAATTATTGCGAGGTGCGTTTGACGAATTAGCATCAGCATAGAGGAACCGCGCCTCTCCTCGGCGGAATGCCGATAGCCAATTTGGCGATGGAGAGCACCGATTACCGATCGGTGAGGATCACCATGCCGCGAAATGCCTCGTCCTGCAATAATTAACGAGAAGTGTTTCCAATTTCACGGAATTAATGAGAGAAGAGGAGGTGTCGTATATAAATAAAACATCACGCGCGACTCTAATGCGGATTGTTTTCTTCTCTTTCTTGATTATGTTGAAAATCGAAGATTGGTGTCGAGATTGACTCTGATCGGACAAAGCGAGTCAGATCGATCAAAATACAATCTTCAATTTCCACATTTTCACAACTTTTAATTTCTTGATTTATCGCGAATTTTTCAATTGTGAGAAAAGGAACGATAGAATTAAAGAAAGTACTCATGGCTGGACACGTCTTTAATTCTGACATTTTGTATTGCATTTCTTTTTATTATACGTTTATTGAATTATATTTATTATTATTATTACATTTATTATATTAGTGTATGGAGAAAAAAGATGATTAGATCAATAACACTATTAAATATGTTTTTAATTGAAGGAAACAGAATTTCTATTTCTTAAGAATCGAATTTGTTTTACAAAGACCAGAAATTCCGTTTCCTCCAATCAAAATGCCTTT